AAAGAGAGCCCATGTATTGGAAAAAGATATAAGGACTAATTACAAAACTCTACAGTATACGACAAGTCTACAACAAGAAAAAACAAGTAAGCCTCTGAGAAAGTGGGTAAAGGACCTGAACAGATGATTCACAAAGGATGACACCCGAATGGCATATAAACACACGAGGAAATATTCTCATTCACTAGCAATCTGGGAAATGAAAGTCAAAACAACCATCAAGCACCCATAACCATAGCCTAATTAAAAATAAAACTGAGGATAACAAATGCCGGAGAAGATGTGGAGAGATTGGAACTCTTATACACTGCTGGTGGGTTTGTAAATATGTACAACCACTATGGAAAGTGATACCTAAAGCAGATGGTAATAGAAATACCAAATGATCCAGCAATATCATTACTGGACACATACGCCAAACAAATAAGAAACAGATTATGAACAGACCTATGTTCCCCCATGTTCATTGCAGCACAATTCACTGTAGCAAGAAGTTGGAAATAGCCTACATTCCCATCAGTAGATTGGATGAAAAAAGAACCCTAGTAAATACTCAAAATGGAATGCTTCACATCCCTAAAAAACAACAATGAAACCATGAAACATCTCATGACATGGAGGGATTTGGAAAACATTATGTGGAATGAATTAGTCAATCACAAAAGGACAAGTGCTATCTGAGGCCACTGATGTAGGGACAAGCAACAGGACAGGCACAAGCAGGGCATCCTGTCTGATGGCCAGGGTGGCCAGACAGCCTGGTAGTTAGCCTGATTGGTGCCAATGAACCTTAAAACATCCTATCTAGGTATGTATGTTGAAGGTTACTTTGGTGGAGGGCTTATTACTTCAGCTGGGATAAAATTGTTAAGGAAGGGTGAGGGGATGTTTACTACTAAGTGGCTGTCATGCAAAGCTATTACGAGGTGTCTCCAGAGAGGTAGAAATCACTATCAAAGGGATTAGGGATACTGATGGGAAAGTCAACTCAGGAGAGAAGAAAGGGTGCAGACACGTCTGGGGGAGCACAAGTGCACAACTGTTGGTAGGAAAAGTGGGAGGACCAAACTCCAAGTGGGGTGAGAAATTATTAAAAAATATTTTAAGTACCCTAATGGTAGAGTATCTTGGTAATATGCACCGAATAATCCACATTGACGTGAGTTTCTGGGCACATCCTGGGGACCCAGGCCAAGTGTCATAGGATACTGGGGCATTAAATCCTGGATCTTCAAGGCACACAACATGCTCTAAAGGCCAAATCAGAGAGAACTGATGAGGAAATTCCACTAGGTGAACTGGACTCTACCTTAAACACTCTTGTAACCTGAGGATTTCAGACTGAAAATTCATGGTGTTTGAAAAAGCAGAAGACAGCTATACCAAGAGTATTGAACTGTCAGTATGTGGACAAGCATGGAATTGCTACATTAATGCCTTGTATGCTGTATTATCCCAGAAAACCTATGATTGACATTCTCAGCGAATGTCATTGTAGATTTTCCATGACAACCAACTCCCGTTGTGTGTGTAAACAGTGTCCAACCACTAAAGGATTGATTCTATACAAGTGAATAATTTTGGTATTGCGATAGGAAGTTTGTCTACATTGAACAAATTCCTTCAACAGTGCTGTAAAAAAATTGGTATTAGGGTCTTATCAATAACATATTAACTGAAGATCTTCATGTCCCAGAAAGATGACCGATAAGACTCTCTATTATCAATTAACAGGGAAGTCTCTAAAGGGAGCCAAAGGCAGGAAAAAACAAACAAACAAACAAACATATATCCAGGGAAATTTTACAATGATATTCACTGAGAATGTCAGTCACAGGTTTACCAGAATAGTATATATGGGTGCTATAGCAAATTGTGGTGAACTACTTAGATGGTGCCTGGCAGCAGATAAAATAGTGCCTGGACTTTTAAATCAAGGTTTGTTTCCAAATAATAAGCTATCTAAATGAGATGTCAACTAAGTCCACATGGAAGATGCATACCAATATCAATGACCTAAGGACTATAAATAATATAACCCAAAACCGAAGGAGGTATTAGTATCAGAGCCTAAATTATGAGATTCTGGTTTACAGAAGGCTATGGGTGACAGTGGGAGCCTGAGATATATTTATGAGATCAACTTAGGAAATAAGCCTCTGGTGATTTCCCTCTATCCATAGTAGAGGGATGGGAAGAACCTGGTTACCAAAGCGAGTGTGTTGGAGAGATAAATATAGGAGATCAAAGTGATAAATCTTACTTGAACAGTTAAAACCTTGTCATTTGATGCATGTTGGGTCTGATCTGGTTTTCAGCATTTTCTGTGGTTTCTTTTGTTACTGTTGTTCATATTGGGCTTTATTGCAGATGTATTTTGTTATTAAGGGTGACCCTCTTGAATTTTTGTTATGATTTTCTATTTTTCAGTATATGAAACCCAGGATTGATGAACCCATAAGGACAGCAAGTATAATAAGGGTTTCTGGGAGTACAGGTATTAGGGGGTTGGGTTTAAAGGGAGCTGGTGTCAAGGAGTTCAAGAAGGTTAAAAAATGTTTTGAAACTGATTGTGGTAGAAATTATACAATATGGCTTGATGAGACTGAACTACGGAGTGATATATCTGCATAGCTCCCAATAAAATAGTTTTTGGGGGAAAAAACTTTTCTGTGGCTCTCCATATTCAAGTAAAATGAAAATCCTGAGTCATAACCTACGATGCTTGACAAAATCTTTTCCCAATATATGTTGTCTACATCTTCTATCACTCTCCTTTTTTCTAGTCATATTGTTCTCCTTGTTGTTTCTCACATATACCAGACATGTTCCTGTCTCAGGGAATTTACCTTTGTTTTTGCTTCTGCCTGGAATGCTCTTACTTCCCTCATCCCTGTGAAATCTTTGATCATATGTCAACATACCATAAAATTCTTATATAGAGAAAATCCTGGGAGCCACATCAGCAAGATGGTACTGCCGGTGATACACGCCCTTTCTCCCAGCAGCTGACCCTCACCTGGCTTCCAAGCAATCTTTCAGCTAGGGAGCTGACAAATAGCAAACCTGATTGACATCACAGTCTTCCTGTGGACCTATCTCATCAAGCACCATCTTGAAGTTGTTTTAGAGTATAAAAGAAGACATGCGTTAGAATAAGCTATTGAAGTACTAATAAAGTATGCTCCATGTAGTGATTGCAGAAATTATTCTGGAGTTTATTGAAAATTTAAATGAGAGTTGAATTTAAATGAGAAAGAATAGTTATATGTGAATATACATCATCATCATATGTGTGTTACTTTATTAATTAAAAAATAAAAATATTTCTGCATTCTTCAGATATTGTATATTGTGATAACTTGGCAGAAATGTCGATTTTAAGGTATATTAATTGTTTCCATTTAGGAAGTATATTGTGTTAAATGTACAAGTTGAAAAGATTAATCAATAAACAACATTCAATAAAGAAAGAAAATCCTTTTATATGAAACCAGTTCTGCCACCAGTTCTTCCTCAGAATTCTTTAATCTCCTAACCTGGTTTCTTCATAGTTGTCAATACTCCTTGATATATTGTAAATGAATTTACTATTTTTCTCTTCTTCTAGGATGTCAGCAAGAGCCCTGTTTGCAAAGTGGTTATATGTTGGGCTTTAATCCTCATGCTCTGCAGTTCAAAACTACAAGCAGCTCCAAGGGAAAAATATTAGACTTTCTACTCCCATAAACAGTTACAGTCCCAGAAACCCACAGTGGGTATGAGTGAGCATTGTCTCTATGACATCGGTTTTATTTTGTTGGTTTTCCCTAGGATGTTAGCTCCAGAAGGGCAGGGACTTTTTATTCCCTACTAGATATATAAATTCTAGAACAGACCTAGCAAACAGTCATATTACTCATTATGTTCCCTGTTAAGCCAATTTGATATCATTGCAGAGGAAATTGAGGCACAGACGGTGGCTTACTAGAGTTTACAGAAAAATCAGGAGTCAGAATGGACTCTCAAAAGAGTAGAGCAATACAAAAAATAAGAGGAAGATAAATCTGGAAAATGTAAGCATGAGCCTCATAAACTATTATTAATGTTCAACTGATTATCTGCTTTGTAAATCACTCAATTAACAATAAAATATTTTAAAAGGATTAGAATCATAAAATGTTGTCAATGAAAGTTATAATAATAGTATCTATTTATTTGTCTCTCCATTTTAGACTGTCAACTCAATGAAAGCAGAAGTTTGTCTTTGTTCTGCTTACTACTGGAACTCTGCCTAGAAATTTGGCATACAGTGAATGCTTGATACATACTTGTTGAATGATGAGGATAAATTACTTGAGACTAACCACTGGAGTGGTTCAGGAAATAAATGAGAAGAGAGCCCGCCAACAGGGAAAACAGTTAAGAGGTTGTTGTTATAATCCCCCAAAACTTGTGAACTGGTGAAAGTGTGGACTATTTTAACTTTGTCCAGAGAAGACAGGGTACAAATAAGGTCTCAGAAATATCAGCCAGATACTGGCTGCCACAGTAATTCTGCTTTTATTCTAAGACTCCACTTCTACTATTGTCCACCCATGTTCTTCTTCTGGAGCAATCTCACTATTGGGGTTTGGTGTTTTATCCCATGGACACTCACAGAAGCAATTAAGGATACTATGCTCTCCTAGAGATATATAATGCTAGCTAGAGATAGTTTTAGAAAGCTACTGCTAGAGGTAACCCATGATGTGGGACATGATGACTATTTAAAATGTCATAAAGGCTTTGTGACATCACTCCTGCTCTAGAGTCAATTTGATATAACAGTGGGCAGTTGGGGCATAACTTCATTTAAGTCACCAAGACCGTCTAAGTCTTGCTTCTGGGGAATAACTATTTTTAGCTTATTCCAGTCTCAGCTTATCAGACATCTTAAACCCACTGCCAACAAGCTTTCCTTGGAAACCAATCTGTTAAAAAGTGCTTCGTTTATCTTTTTGAAACAGCTTACATGAATCATGCAGTGTATAGGAGATATCAGTGAAGAGGTTTGGCAGGACTGCATCACCCTCTTCCTGCAGACTGGGATGTGTTGTGATGCAGCAATCATCACCAATTCCCCTCCATGGCTATTAGCTTCTTATCCTGAAGGAAAATTGCTTCAGATGACCCAGGAAGAAATTCAGATCTTGCTGGCAAGGGATGGAAGAGAGAAGTTGTTTCTTCAGGGAATCATCCTTGCAGGGACCAAATGCTTGCTAATCCGGGACAACCTGTACACTGAGGGCAACAACACCATGGACCTCCGCACCAAAGGTCAGAGTCGGGGCAGCCAGGCAGTGACAGTGGTTCAAATTGAGTCTGTATACGTTGTGGTGATGGGGGAAAAGGGAACAGAAGGAGGACCTCTCAACCTCAAAGCTTTTGAGATAGCAGGTTACATCAGAGAAGCCATTCATCAACACATGGTCCATATCTAACTAAATAAAAAACATGATGTTTGACTTATAATTTGAGTTTATTGTCATCTGTTTCTCCTGCTTAGTTAACATTGTCTTGGGTGAAAAAAGAAGGGAAGACCCAATGTCTGGGTTAGAGATGTGCATGTGTGTTGAAGGAGATTCACACCCTTGTTGGAGTGTGAATAGCACCTTCCAGGTATTTGGGCCTTTAAAATACCTGGGACCCCATAATATCTCAGCACCTCAGGTCTAATAGTAGACTGTAACCAGAAAATCATGCTTATTCCCCATGACTAACTCTTTAATCTTGGGTAATTTCTTTTCCTGCATTCTTGATCTCAGGGAAAAGAAGTGGAATATGATTTCTTTTCTATTGAATAGTACTTGAAGCTCTGAAAAATTAGGATGTTTTAATATTACACATATTTTTCAAGGTCCATTGCTGCCAGGAATAATCTTCTGACTGCTTTAGAAAGGGTAGAACTATATCATCAGCTGTATTTTTTAAATCATTTTATTGGGGACTCGTACAACTCTTATCACAATCCATTCATACATCCATTGTGTCAAGCACATTTGTACATTTGTTGCCATCACCATTCTCAAAACAGTTTTTTCTACTTGAGCTCTTAGTATCAGCTCCTCATTTTCCCCTCCACCCCTTCCTCATGGACCCTTGATGATTTATAAATTATTATTATTTTCTTTGTCTTTAATAATTTTATTGAGGGTTCTTACAGCTTTTTTATAACATTCCATACATCAATTGTATCAAGCATATTTGTACATATGTTGCCATCATCATTTTTTAAACATTTACTTTCTATCTGAACCCCTGGTATCAGCTCTTCATTTTTTTTCCTCCCACCCCCTGTAGTCTTTAATACTTAGCAGTAGTGCTTCAAATTCTCTTCACTTTCAGCAAGCAAGTTGTATCATTTGCAAATTGCAGGTTGTTAATGAGTTTCCTTCAGTACTGATACCACTTTATTTTTTATACAATCCATGAACATGCAGGGAGGGTTTATTACAGCTTGTTTATGAGGCCTCTTCCTGGCATAATGATTTTTTGTTTCTGCGGATGTAATTTATATGGAGGGCTTGGATGCATAGATCCCATTGATGCTGGCACTATGTCAGTCCATTTAATTGAGGGCCTTCCTCCCACCCAC